CATTATTGCATTCGTAGTTTTTATATTGTTTCATATATGTTTCTTTCTAGTAAAAAAATTGAGACATTTTTATTTTAAAAAAAAATATAATTGTATGTCTTTCCACCTTCAATTTTGACTGGAAAGTTAAAGTTTGTTTTATGCATGCATCCCTTTCTTCATTGGACTTCTTGTGAGGTATGCAATTTTTATTAGTTAATTACACATTTGTATAATAGTATGATAACTACTGTTAGATCTTTGCTTCTTTTTCTTTTTTTTTTGTACAATTTGTTTTGCAAGTATGACTACAAGTCGACAAGTCTTGCTCATTTTGATAGTCACATGAATTAATTTATCAATATGGAGAAGCAGAAGACCCCACTTTAGATAATGATTAATGGTCGTAGATATCTGAAATGCATTCAAGGTATTTGCACAATCAACATTCAATTGCATTTCTTTTGTAGAACATTAAATATTTGAGATAGATAGAGCCTTGGTTATGGTAAAATTTCTGTTGAACTTGCAATTTTTGTGGGTAAAGTGACATTTTGTTTTTACATGCTTCATGTCATGCTAGAGGTAATGTTAAGACATTTGAAGGGGTGTGATCAGTCGGACTTTATCTTTTGTAAAAATAAAACAATCTCTACAAAGTTTCTTCATAATGGTTTCTGAATTAATTTGTAATTTCATTTTTCAAGCCAGAAATTTTTTGGAGAGATGCAAAATATGGTCAAAGAATTCAAGAATTTAGTTTTTCAAGTTTTTTCATTTTTTAATATATGTAAGCACAGTTTAAATTTTTTTATTTAATTTCTTTATATATACTTTTGAACATATTTAACTTTCATTTATGAATTGTATGACGTTATTCCATTCAATATGTGGTTGTGATTCAAAGTATACTATATAATATGTATTACATTATTGAAATGCATGTACAGAAATAATGTTGATTATTCTTTAAATATGTCGAATCCTTTTTTTTATCACACGCATTAATTATGATGAGAAATACATATAACGTGTAATTTTATCTCATTATTAATCAAAGGTTTTATTAGGCATTAATTACACTTAAAAGATGTGATCTAAATGCTTATTATCACAAGTTTTATTAGTTTTTAATCACACTTAAAAAGTGTGATTAAAAATGGTCCTTTTTAATCACACTCCCAAATATCACACTTTGACAAAATTTAAAAAGTGTGATTAAATAACATAGATCACACAAAAAAAGTGTGATCTTTATTTATTTTTGTAGTAGTGAATTAGAATGAAAGCGGTGGAATTAAAAATATATATATATATATATATATATTATTATTTTTATACAACTCATGAGCACATCATAATTAAGCTTCTAATTTTTTATAAAAATTACAAACTAATTTGAATTTGTTATAAAATCATCTTTTTGGAATTTTTATTTATTTATAACCTAGGTGGTTATTTATTTATTTATAGGGAGATTATAAGATTCTATTTTTTTTGGTGTGAAAATCTTTATATAAAGATGTCCCTAATCTCTCTTTAATACATCACATAAAAAATGTTCCATAAAATTTTTCACATTCAACCTAAAAATGTTAGAATATTATTTAAAAAAAATAATAATGTACATAAACAGTGACCCATTGTATAAAGCCCCCGAACCTTGCTTCAGACCCCAGTGGGGGTCCGACCCCCAGTGACGTCCTCCTCCTCCTTAGTGACTAACACTTCTTCAAGATGTGTGATGATTGCTTAAATTTGATTATGTAATTGTGAATGTATCCCAAATGAGATTATGTAATTGTGATTAAATTTGTGCTGAATTATCCAAAATGAGATTGTATAGTTGTAATTAAATTTGTATGGTATAAGATTTATGTTTTAGAATAAATTTGAATCACAAAATAATAATTCTCAAAAATATAGTTAAATCTAAATTGACAATAGTCAATGCCAAAAATATCTTTTCATTTTATTTCACAATACCTGATCCATAATCCCACTCCCTCTGCAACAGATATCTAATCCGGATAGATAAAGGCAATCAAAGGCAGGATTGTTATGGTCATAAATTCAATTCCATGTTATAGATAGGCAAAACTTTTTAGGATAAAAGACAATTTTAGTCTTTAAAGAATACATTCGTTATCATTTTAATTTTGTCATTTTAATTATCAAAATTATCAATTTGAAATAAGAGAGCTGATTCAGGGCTCTAAAAAAAAGAGCACTAAAAAGTTCTAATGAGTTGAAAAAAAAAAAAGAAAAAAAGATACAACCATCATATCATGGGAGAGCCAGCTCATTAGAACTCCCCTAGAGCTCCATATTTAGAGTTCTCAAACATTTTTGTTTAAATCAATTTGATCCTAACTCTAATCATATTATATCATATGTCTATTTACTTTGAATATATAACCTATTGTACTAATATATATCTTATTGTACTGCAGCACTAGCCACAACATCTTTCTCATTTCTCTATCTTATGTGAGTACTCCAAATCACAACCATCATGGGATGAAAGTGATTAAGGCCTCGTTTAGAAATAGATTTTTTTAGTAACTTATTGATTTTTTTATTAAAATATAATGTAAAAAAAAAAAAAACTAACATGTTTGAAATTATTTTTTAATTTTTTACAAAAAGATGTACAAAAAATAAAGAGAAAAGAAATTCTTTGACTTTTTTTACAAAAAGATGTACAAAAAATAAAGAGAAAAGAAATTCTTTGACTTTTTGATATATGCTAACTTTTTTTATTTTTTTTAGTGACTTTTAAATTTTTACGTTAAAAAGTGATATTGCCAACCGAAACCTAAAAAGTTGTTATAAGGCCAATATAATTAAAAAATCAAAAACTCACTAAAAGGTCAAAATTTTAAAAAATCATAGGAAACAGTCAACTCTTTTTCCTCAATCTCTAACTTTGTACAGAATTTTTTTGTAAAAAGGTACTATAAAAAATTATTCTCAGACATTTCAATTTTCTTTACCACACGTTTTAACCAAAAAGCTAAAGTATTCATTTCCCAAACCAACCCTAAGTAAAGTTTTAGGATAGACAGGTAATGGTTAATAGATGAAATTTGACTAAGGCCTCGTTTGGGAAGTGACTATTTTAGTAGGCTATTTGACTTTTTAACTATTTTAGTAGGCTATTTTAGTTTTTGTGTTTGGAAAGATGAGATGAATTTTTAGTTGAGTTGTTGTATTGAAAAGTGTGTTGAAATGATGTTTGAATTTAAAATGACAAATTTGTCCCTAAATTATATTTTTTTAATTGGATATAAAGGGGCAAAATGGTAATTTAGCCCATGATGTTACAATTTTCGACTGTAGCAGTGTAGGCACAGCCTACACTGCCCGGCTGCAGCCTATAAATTTTTTTTTTTTTTTTTTTTTGGAAAATTATGAACAATATTTACTTTTGGGCTAATTTTGCAATTTAGGCTATAATAGCCTTAAATCATCATTCCCAAACAGCGCCTAAGTTAGAAGAGTATTATAATTATTTAACCATTACATATAATAAAATTAGCTAATAAGCGGTGTGAGTATAATTTCAAAGATTAAAGAGAGTGAGTGATATGTCAAAAAAACAAATGCAGTTTCAATGTAATTTACCCTAAAACCATACATAAAATACTTTGGAAAAATTACAATTAAGTGATGTTTCACAAAAAAATATATACAAATAAATGAAATAGTTTGAAATTTTAATTATTGATGTCCATAAAATTTACCATTAATGTGTAAACTTTTTTCCTACATCTACACTGAATAATAATTTCCCCGAACTGTCAATGTTATCAATGTAAACTGAAGGTCTAACTCGGAGGAGTTGAAAGGTTTTGTAATTTACCCTAAAACGCCTGGATAAAATATAAGATATTTATCAATAAATCCCATCTCACAAATAAGTATTTCAACTAGTTTCAAATTTTTTCTATTGAATTATTAAATCTTATTAGTGGAGAGTTTATTTCCGTGTAGTCCTATTTTTTTTTTATTCTGGTAGTGTTTTGATAAACAATTATACTCTTTTATTAATGTTACAGGTATAATGTGATACTTTATTATGGCATGCATTAATGTAACATTTCAACGATATGACACTCTAAAAAAATTAAAAACTTCTTAGTGTTCTTTTTCCAAATATGACTACGTAATGAATATTATATAACACTCCATGACTTTTACTTCAAAAAAACTAAAAATTCTTTAGTGTATTTTTTTTTTCCCAAATGTGACAACATAATGGGTATGATATGACACTCTAAAAAAAATTAAAAACTCCTTAGTGTACTTTTTTCAAATGTGACGTGTCAAGTGTACTTTTTCAAATGCAATAATGTGATAGGTATAATGTGACACTCTAAAAAAAATAAAAACTTCTTAATATACCTTTTTTCAAATGTGACGTGTCGAGTGTACCTTCCTAAATGTGATGTGATGGGTATAATGTGACACTCTAAAAAAAATAAAAACTCCTTAATATATTTTTTTTCAAATGTGACAACATAACAAGTATGATATGACACTTAAAAAAAAATGTTTAGTATATTTTTTCCAAATGTGACATATGACACTCTAACGTGATGGATATGATGTAACACTATAAAAAAATTAAAAAATCTTTAATGTACTTTTTCCATATGTGACACTCCAACGTGACAAGCAAATGAGTCATTACACATCCAAACAGACTACATAGATTAAAAGTCTAAAATATAGAACTTATTGGTCAATCTCTCATAAAATAATTGAGAAATTACAATTAAGTGGTATGTTAAAAAAAATATTTACAAATAAATGAAATAGTTTGGAATTACAATCATAGTAGTAAGCTTACAATCAACAACAAACAAACGAATTATTCTAAGAAACTTTTTAAAAGCAAATTGAAGTGAGAACAAAATAAATATATTCACACCGAGAACAAATTAAAGAAAACTTGAGGCAAAAGCAATTAAAGCAAACAAACTTGAGGGATAAGCACTTGGTTACCAAAAACGAAAGGCCACAAAAATCCATTGTTTAGTTTCATTTTAATGAAATTCAGTTGTCTACACAAAGGACGAAAAAACCAAAAAAACACAATAAAATTGGCAAAAGCCAATAGCAGTTGTCATTCAATTAGCTCATGTATTACATAAGCCCAACAACCTTCATGAACTCCATAAGGATGCAACCTACTCAATCTCCAACACAACCACCTGAAAATAAAAGGTTAATTATGTGCAAATAAAACCCAAAAATAAAAAAATAAACAGTGTGTTTGGTTTGAGTTTTCTGGATTAAATTTTTAAAAAATTGAGTTTTTTGATTTTTGTATTTTCTTGTTTTTAGTGAATATTTTTAAAATTTTAAACAATTTTTTTATTTTTTTAGATACACCTTACTTAGATGTATCTAAAAAGTAAAAAAATTTGTGAAAAAATATTTTAAAAAATTAATAAATACATAAAAATACAAAAAATTACTGAATTCTCGTATTTTTTTTGTATTTTTGGTGTTTAATGAATTTTTAAAAAGTTTTTTTCACAAATTTTTTACTTTTTAGGTATATTTATGTTAGGTATGTCTAAAAAGTAAAAAAACTGTTTAAAATATTAAAAAAATTCAGTAAAAACAAAAAAACACGACAAATAAGAAAGTGGAGAAAGTTTTTTTAGAAAAATAAAACCAAGCAAGCTGAAAAGTATTCACCAATTGGTTGCGATTAAAATGCCACTAGCTATGCATACATAGATACATTTGTATGTACATATAAATTATTGAGCTGACACAAATAACAATATTTTCCAGCCATTCATATACAACAGTGATTATTTTCATGTTCAACATATCACAAGTAATCAATCAACAATAAAAAAAATTTAATATTTATGCAGTGAAAAATCTCATTCATCAACTATTACTTGGCAAAACGCTACTCAATTCTCATAAATTAATTGAGTTCCAATTTATTTTGCACATTATCACCACATCTTAAATTCTAGACTCAAACCTTGACAGGGACTATGCTTGCATCATAATCTATTTACCTATTTCATCATGCGCTAAGGCGAGGAAAAGATAAAACAAGAATTGAGAGAGAGAGAGAGAGGGACTTAAATACTTGTGTGCTGCAGACTGCAGGGCTTGAGACCCAAATTGATCTCCCCTATTTCCCCAAGCCCACCGTATCCTTTTCCCTCCTCCCACGGATGACCAACCAATCTCAACAAATCAAGTTTATCCAACAAACAACTTTTCTCTCAAGATTAAGAAATGTGTTGGATAGTGAAGAAAATTTGAAGCTACGGCGGACATTTTGAATCTCAATTTGATGCAGTGGCTGATCCCACTAATGTGATGACTGAAGCATTAATTGGTTTTCAACTGAAGTATAATTATTATCTCCACATTAACGACTGCATAACTCCATTTTTAGCAATTCCATATTCAAAATAAACAGAGATTTAGAGTACCAAGTGTGGGGATGTATTTTCTGAATATCAACACGTGGCATGGTGACGCCGACGTGTCAGCCGAGGTGCCACGTGTCCTGGTAGTCAAGCCGAGATAATCTCGGAGAAGCCGAGGTTATCTCCGAAGATATCGGAATCCGAGGTAAGGGACAAGAGTCCTAAGACGGAGAGGGGACTTAACCAAGATAAGGATAAAACTCTTAGGGAGTTTATCTTTATCTCTTAAAGAATCCAAAGTAAACATTGATATGAAGTTCATAGAAGTCATACTTCTATTGGGACTTAGATTGAGTATATTATAAAAGAGAGGCACCCCCATGGGTCTAAGGTATGCAATTTATGTTTTGAGTATTCAGTTTAGCACTTGATTATTTTTTAGAGATATACTGACTTGATCGTCGGAGTGCCCCCGGGTGGAAGAACCACCGCCGGAGCTTTTTCTTTCTGTTACAGGTTGTTAAAGCTATCTATTCTGCCTGTGCTCTCCAGCTGATCACTAAACGAGCAGTGTGGTCAGATTTTCACCCACACAATTTGGCGCCGTCTGTGGGAACGAAGGAAGAATAGATGGCCAGTAACGGACAACAGGAAAAAACTGGGGATGACGCTCCCACTGGGAGTAGCAGACCAATTGATCTTGACATTGAAGGAGACAACCACAATACAGAAGCCCGTGACCAGGGTCACAGAGAGAACGACGTCATCCCAGAAGGCGACACGTCAAAAAAGACAAACCAAGGAAAGTACTTGAAGATAACCTCCAGGTATGGAGGGACAGGTGCCTACGGAGGGATGAGGAGGTGAAAAAACTAGCGAACAAGTTGGCAGACCTTCAGTCAGTCGTCAACTTCATGATGCAGAATAATGTTATGCAGCCACCATACCCGCTGCAAGATACGCCGATGCCAGCGACCAACACCTAGAAGGGTGGAAGAAAAACAATCCCCGAGGTCCCTCAGTATACCAGGAGCGGAAGGCATTCTCACCGGCCTTACAGGGAAGTCGGACGGGAAAAGCCGAGGCAAGAAGAGTCCCGAAGGACGCACCACATGAAGAATCCAGACCCCAAAGAACATCAACATGTTCAGGGGCAAGTACTCTACTTTGACACAACCCATGAAGAAAGATCCAAACGGACCCACCACGAGGCCGAAAGCAGTGTACCAAAAAGACTAAAATCTAAAGACAGCCGAGCTCCAGGGAGGAGCAAAGAAGACCTAAGGGACTACCTCAAGAGGAGGTAGCAGAATGCAGAAGCCGAGGTAAACTCCCCAGTAAAACCGAAGACAGCCTTCTCGGTGGAACTGGACAAATTCGAACCACCCAAGAGATTCAGTATGCCGAAGTTTCAAATCTATGATGGTAAGTCAGATCCAAACTTTCATGTTGGGCTATACCTAAATTCAATGGCATTATATAGCGGAAACGAGCCGTTGCTCTGCAAAGTATTCCCCTCATCCTTTGGGGAAATTGCATCTGATTGGTTCCATAAATTACCAAAGGGAAGCATAAAGACATGGGAAGGACTGGCCGAGATGTTTGTGGCCAGGTTTGTGACCAACAAGCTGCAACCCCTGAGGGTTGATGCTTTGATGGCTCTAAGAATCACCAAGGAATAAGGCCTTAGGGCCTATGCGAAGAGGTACTACGAGGTGTTCAACCGAATACCCGAATGCAACCAAGAGGTAACGGTCGTGTCTTTCAAAAACGGCCTGAAAGATGACTGCCCGCTACGGAAGTCTTTGGCAAAAACATTGCCAAAAAGCATGGAAGAACTCATGGCAAGAATCGAGAAGTATGCCAGAGCCGAAGAAGATACATCGGGAAACAAAGAGATAAAACAAGAAAAGGGAAACGGCTCGCCGAAACGACGCCGAGGCAACAATGGGCCGACCAAACAAGAAACAGAGTTGAGAAATAAACAGGCGGTAACAACGGTATTCCGGATCCCAATCCATAAAGTCTTAGATCAGATTCGAAATCAACCTTATTTCAGGGCTCCGGCAAGAGCACCAGGGGAATTCATTGGAAGGAACGTTGGTAGACGTTGTGCCTACCACAATGAAGAAGGGCACCCAACTCAAGGTTGCAGAGCCTTGAAAGCACACTTGGAGGACCTGGTAAGACAAGGCCTTCTGAGGGACCTGGTCGATGAGGCCAGGACAAGGGAATAACAGGCAAGGTTGCCTCAAGCACTAGCAGCACCGCCTCCCCCAGCACAACTACCACAAGTAGGAGGACCGAGGGTAGTTAATGTGATCCACTCAAGGGTCAACGAAAACGAAGTCAGAGGGAAGACCCAGAGGGTAAGACATTTACAACATGTCTACCAAGTCGGGGAAAAAAGACATCGGCCAGAAGAATGCCAAGGGCCGATCATAGCCTTTACTGAAGCCGACCTGGAATTGGTCCAACATCCGCATAATGATGCCTTGGTAGTATCCCTCCAGGTTGGGGAATACCAAGTGAAACGCATCTTAATAGATCAAGGCAGCTCTTGTGACATCATGTACGTCAGATGTTACAAGGAGCTGGGCCTTCACCCTGATGACTTAGAACAATCCAACGGCGCGATGGTCGGCTTTAATGGAACGCCGACGTGGCCACTGGGCGCAACAAGCTTGGAAGTACAAGCCGGCACTAAGAAGGTCAAGACGGAATTTCTGGTAATTGACACACCCTCACCATACAACATCATCTCGGGAAGGTCGTGGTTGCATGCAATGGGGGCAGTTCCGAGATCCAAAGCCTGCATTTGCATGTCCATGGAGCTTGAAATCGCCGAAGACGGTCGATTCAAGTTGAAATATTTATGGTGGGAAAAATCTGGCTGAAGTTCCCTCTACTAGGTGGTGCTACAGTCGCCCCACCGCCACCACCGGAGTAGAATTCTCCGGCTGGAAGTTGAATCCCATTGATCTGACAACCTGAAGAGTTTCTGAGCAAGAGCTTCTCACTGAGATCATTCAAATCTCTCTGCTCATTTGTCGCGTAGCTTGTCGCCTGTTGTTGTAAGTGCAAATCTTCTATGCTTGATGATGATGTGGTGTTGCTGTGTATCATTTCAGTAAATTTTGGATAATGATCTTCTGGGAGGTCTCCTTTTCTTGCAAGGTGCAAGTCATGGGAAGGGGATTTAGAAGAAGTCATTTGACCCCAAGAGAGACTGGTCCAAGAAAGAGGTCTTGGTCAAATCCAATTTTGGGTCTTGGGTTTGGAGGAGAGAGAAGAAGTGAGGGTTGTGTAGAGAATTTTAGCGGACTAGGTTGAGGTCCGGCGGGCGGCCAAGGCGAGATTGCCGCTCGCCGGTGAAGCGAGAAATACTAAGGTCTTAACCTTGCTCTGATACCATGTAGAAAATTTAATGTATAAAGAGAAATAGAGAATTGTATTATTGATTGATTTATATTGATATGTTGTATTACAATGATTCATGATTCCTATATATAGAAGATGATTTGGGTAGTAGGTGAGGAGTAGGTGAGGGTAAATTGGTGGTAGATGTAGTAGGTGTGGTAGTAGGTGGTGGTAGGTGTAGGTAAATTTTAACATACAGATTAAATTTTCAGTTACTATCTAATTATTTAGTTATTTATTGCCGTAACCAAGTATCTTATCTCATATAGCATCTCCTCCCATTAAAGATATAGGTAAGGTTGTGAGTTTAACACCCACTGGGTGTATAACTTAATAATCAAAAACAATTTTACCATTTATTTACCACAGTATCGGAATGCTCAAAACGCAAATTTGGCTCCTGCTAATTTAGCGAAGAATGAAACAGGGAAGACAAGTTTTGACCAGAGAGAGAGGAAGGCATGAGTTATTGCAAGAATTAGAACACCTCCAGACACAAATACAAATAAACTGTTTTTAAGGCATACAAGTGAGGCAAGGCACCATGTAGTGCCTTAAGCCTAATAATGCAAGGCAATGTAATTAAGGAGCTTGCCTTTGACATGCAGTAAAGGACCTCAACTGAGACAACAAGCAATATAAATGACAGCCAAAAGGACTAAAAACTTGTGCACTTAATTGAATGATCCTCAACCAGGGCATTTGGCCTCACTCTATGGTGTGAGGTCTCTGGTTCAAGCCCTATAAAGAGGAGTTTGATACCCTTTGTAGTGGTGATTTATTTCTCCCCCATTATGGGGGTTGTGATTGTTGGACTTGGCCTTGGCCTTGGCCCTGGGCTTGGTTTATTAGCTGTGTAAGGCTTTGTTGACTTTCTAGCAATTGTGGGCTAATAGTCTATTTGACGATGTACACATTTCTCATATTTGTAATTACTGTCCTATCGATTGGCCAAATAAAAACTAAATAACCAAGTCCCTCCCTACCATTTAATTTTCTTTCAGATCTAAGGCTCTGTTCTTATTTTTTCGCTCTTCAAACTATGTTTCATTGACTATCGATTTCGTTCATGCTCCAACACGCATCACCAAGTATGTTTGTAAAAGGTATCCTCAAATATATTATCAACAATTTATTTGATTATCGTACATCACTAAACTAACAGTATAGCAAGTAATAATCAAAATATGATATAATTAGTTTAGCTCCCAAAATTAAATAAAACAAAACAAAACATTATTATCATTTCAATAATTCAAATCAAGCTTTCATGTCATGAAACATACTAACCATTGCAAAGGTTGTCTTCTTTCCAGAACCATTCTTTCCCATGACTGTCTGAACCTTCTTGAAAGAAGAAGAAATAAAACTCAAAATGAGATAAATATCTATAAACATTCACTTACACTCCATTTTTTTTTTAAGAAAATATTTTCAAGAGAAAAAAGTTTGTGGAAAATATTTCCTAAAAAATATATTTTGTAAAAAAAATGTTTTGTTTGGTTGCGACCCTTCAAATAATGTGCTAGTGGTTGTGGTAGTAATGTTTGGTGTGGTGGTGGCAGCAGCGAAGGCAGTGAGTGCATACACAGTGATGGCGATGATGGTAGTAGTGAGGTGGTGGTGCTGGTGGCGGCGGCAGCAATGGTAGTATGTAGTAGAGTATTGAGTTAAAACTTCTTAATCACATGAACTCTTGAAGGTTGAAATTGTTTTCAAATGAGAGAGATTTGAACTTTACAAGACAAATTATCACTCAGTTAAAGATATAAGATGGGTTCAAATCTTTGACGGGAATGTGGAGTTTCTTATTGGTAGGCAAAGGGTAACTCATTACTATGGAGTGTGTGTTTTAGTCCACTCTTCTATTAGATTTAGAAGGAAAGATGAACAAATGATTTAGTTAACTTCATCATTTGAAGTTGGGTTACCGTTCGTCTTTGATTTTATTTTATTTTATTTTGTTTTGTTTTGTTTTGAAAGATAGTTGATGAGTGCTTCAGGATAACAATTAAGGAGCCGCCATATGCGTAGGCGTCAAGCAACCATGCGAGCTTCTTGTGGCAGGTGAGGAAGAACCAGTGATCTGCTAAGGAGACTGGCAGTGATAGTATAGTGGTTGGTAGGGGTAGTGAAAATGGTAGTGGGGTTGGTAAGATACAAGTTCAAAATATGTTTTCCACATTTAAAAAACTGAAAACATTTTTTACCCAAATAAACTTGTTTTCCATTGAGCACGAAAATACTTTTGTTGAATTTCGTTTTCTGTCGTATCAACGTCATAAAATGTAAAAGAAAGTATTTTGCCAAAACAAATGGAGCTAAAACTTTCTAACATCTAAACAAATAAATGAAATAGCAGCCAATATTGTGCTAAAAAAAAACAAAGATTCAACAATCACCCTCATATTTATAATTCCTAAGCATATACACTTTCTAATCAGTTATTTGTTATCTCAGACATTTAAGGGTGGAAATTGCAAAGAAGAAAATGCATCTGCCTTACCTTGTTCATCCTCAAGAGGTTTGAGCCTAAAAGATAACACTGCCTAAACTTTCTAACATCTAAACAAATAAATGAAATAGCATTGTGCTAAAAAAAAACAAAGATTCAACAATCACCCTCATATTTATAATTCCTAAGCATATACACTTTCTAATCAGTTATTTGTTATCTCAGACATTTAAGGGTGGAAATTGCAAAGAAGAAAATGCATCTGCCTTACCTTGTTCATCCGCAGGAGGTTTGAGCCTGAAAGATAACACTGACATCTTAGAACCTACCCCCAATAGCACCACAGCTTGATATGTCTTAATATTGCCTCCATCAGCAAGATCCTTGGCGCTGAAGGTCATATAAAACCTGAGTACACAGGCAGCCTGAGACATTGCCTTCAAAACCTTCACAAACTCCAACTCTTTATTTGTGTCCTACAAATGTTGTCATGAATAAGCTAAGTAGTATTATGTTTATAACTTGAAATAAAATACAATCATCAATTAAATGCCTCATGTTTCAGCAAAAACATAAACAAAAACCTTGAAGCGACGGTTGTATTCATCAACTGCAAGCTGCGAATACCATTCGTAATGTTTAGTGTTGTAGGTAATGTCCATTGGAAGAATTTGATGGAACTCATTGACACCAGGTATGTTCGCTACATCAAATCCCTAAAGCAACGAAAGAACCAACAAAAAAATAAATAAAACATAAGCAAAAGAACTAGTGATGCAAAGGCCATAGGGATAGGGATAGGGATAGGGATAGGGATAAGGATGTAAATGTAAATTTTTACTTACGTCGCTCTTCAAAACTTGATCCTTGTAGACCCGGTATTCATCCTCAGTCATATCACGGTCATCATCATAATCATAATCATAATTATCACCATCATGTGTATCACACCGTGGTGCAACTGGAGGAATACGTTTTAGTTCTTCGTCATACCCAAACAATTTAGAAAGACTAAATACCTCATTATCATCATCATCCGATGTATCAGATGTATCAGACGATGATGATAGATAAGTCCGAGAATCTATTTCTGGATCCATTGATCTTCAAGCAACCAACAAGAAAGAGATATATTATCAAAAAGATGCAGATGGGGAAGGGGTTTCAAGTAGGGAGGAAATATGCAGAGAGAGAGAGAGAGAGAGAGAGAGAGACAAATAAATAGGGCATGTCAACAGATCCAGTTTCTTCTGAATCTGACCCGAATAATCCGATCTATTAATTTAAATCCACATCCGATTACCCGGCTAAATCGAATCCACAAAAAGATCTGATTACAATAATGTTTTACCTGTCGCTTAGCTGGCTCATTTCCCTGGCATTTCCAACACTTTATTCCTCCATTAGGCTAATTTTTTTCAAAACCGTGCTACAGGCCTCGAAAAGAGGGGCGCGAATTCGCCTCCAAAAGAAGTTGTTTTTTGTTTTTTTTTTTTTTTTTGCTACGTTGGTTTGGTTTTTGTTTTTTTTTTTTTTTGTTTTTTTTTGGAGGGTTTTTTTTTTATGTTTATCATAAAACTTAAATTCTAATAAAAAAAAATCAAACCAACACAGTCCAGTAAATAAAACAAAACAAACCAACATAGTCTAACAAATAAAAAAAAAAAAAAAAAACAACAACAACAACAGTAATTTAGCCTATGTGATTTGATAAGATTAGTAAGCTAGGTTAGACTGATTGAGTGATAAAATTAACTGATCAATTAGACTGTTGGTTAAAATTTATTAATTCCATATAGTTTCTAAACTCACCCCTACACATAACCATCCTTTAAAAATAATAATAATAATAATAATAATAATAATAATAATAATAAAAATTACAACAGCCCAACAAATAAATAAATTAAAAAAAACAACCAAACTGACACAACCTAACAAATAAATAAAAAATAATAATAAAAACAACCAAACTAACACAGTTTTAAAGAAAAAGTAAAAGAAGAAAAAAAAAAAAAAACCAATTTTGAGCCACATTCGAGGCCTCAATCTTTTTTTTTTTTTTTTTTTTAAAAGTATGTCGTTTTACACCTAAAACAACGTCGTTTTGAGTGTTTCAAGGCATTCGAGCCATGTTTTTTCAGGCCACCTATCATTGTTGTTTTTATTTTGTTTTTTTATTTTGTATTTTTTTTAAGGGTGAGTTAAAATGTCTAATATAAATATTAGATATTTCGCACCAACTCATCGTATAAAATTATATAAAATTAACAAAATTTAACTAATAGCTTAACTGATCAGTCAATTTTATCACTTAACCAGTCTAACTTAATTGATTGATAAGTTAGACTGTTGATTAAAATTCGTTAATTTCACATAATTTTGTACGATGAGTTGGTGCGGGATGTCTAATTTTTTGCCACACCCCTGCACATAACCACCTTTAAATAATAAAAAAAGCCCAAACCAACACAGCCTAACAAATAAAATTAAATTAAATTAAAAAAATTGATCAGTCAATTTTATCACCCAATCAGTCCAACCCAACTCACTTACAAAATGTCTAATTTTTAGCACACCCCTATACATAACCACCCTTGCAAAAAGAAAAGAAAAGAAAATAGAGGGAAAAAAAAAAAACTAACACAGCTTTAGGGGAAAAAAAAATTTTTTGAATTCGCGGCAAATTCGAGGCCTCAAGCATTAATCAATTTTTTAACTTTAAGCATATAAGCCATGTTTGATTCCTAAGATTAATAGTAACGTATTAATAATCTTATTAAATTAGTGTGGTATTCACTATCCAATTAGATTAATAGGATAAATTATTCATTGGATTAATGATTCTAAACCAAAATGTTAAAACAAAGATAGGATAGTTGGGCTCACGAATTAATAATCTCAATCTCATACTCTAATCCATCCAATCAAACATGCTCATAAGGTACCGCGAGTTTAAAAAATACGCCTTTAAAAAATGTGTTTATGGTTTGAATAAAATAATAATAAAATATTTCAGGAAAAAAACATGTTTACCGTTTGCGAGACTCATGTTACTATGGCCCCATTTGTTTTTAGAGATAGAATTGACGTAATTTATAATGAGGGAATTGTTACGTTTGTTTTTAGAGGTAGAATAGAGAAGATTCATAATGAGAGGATTGTTAGTGAAGGGATTGATAGTGAGGGAATTAGGTAAAATTGTGTTTGTTTTGATGATAGTTATTAATATAGAAATTGTTAAATTATTTTTATATAAAATAATAAAACAAATAAAAAAATATAAAAAATTAAACATTAATGTTTTAAAAAAAATTCCCAATATGTAAAAAATACAAAAATTTCTAATCCTCTCACTATTTTTCTAATATTATCTCCACCTCCTCTATTCTAAACCCAATCCCTCTTCCAACCTCCATCTTAATCCCCTTCTTCATCTTAATCACTTCCCCAACTTTACAAACAAACGCGATATTAAATAACCTTACCTCCATCATAATCCTCTCCCATTCATTACACACCAAAACAAACAAGGGCTACGAGTCTTGTTCTAAAGTTTTCAACCCATAATAAGATCCCACTTTTGGGAGCTTCTATTTGTACACACCAAACCCACTCTACACACACTTAATGAAGAGGATGTGCAAAAAGTGTAGTGAGAAGGATGTGTAAAAAGTGTATATTGTATGTGCAAATAGAAACTCCCCCCACTTTTAAATAAATTTTCCATCGTAGACCAACTTACCCTCAATTATGAACGGAAAGATGCAAGCAAACACTGTGCACGTTGATGCACTCCCGCGTACATAATTTCCTCTCCGTTGTATTCTAAATTATTGAGTGAAATAAATTTGTTTTAAGACTATAAATCCTCTTTAAGTGATTTGCCCCACTCCCAACAACAGATTTTCTAGCAGACCAAATAGAATTTCTCATTTCAACTCCTATATATGAGGCTTAAATTATAATGTCTTCTCTTGCTAATTGACAGTCATCAGTTCACTATCAGCATCAACACGTGTTTGGCTTGTTTTACGACCTAGGCTCGTTTGGAGACTTACTTTTTTAGTCAATTAGTCAAAAAGTTACTAAATTAGCCAAAAAGCCAACAGCTCATACCAAAAAGTCAAAGATTCTCTTTTCTCTCTACTTTTTACACATCTTTTCACAATTAGCCAAAAAGTCATCCCAAACATACAAGTTTTTTTTACCTACCTTTTTAGCCAAATAACCAAAAAGTTACTAAATTAGTCTGTTCCCAAACGAGGCCTAGTTTCTTGGCTCATCAATATTTTGAAACACAGCTACCAATTCACAAGTATTCAAGCCCAAATTGTATGAGATATGATGACTTTCAGCGAATTTTTACATATATCATTTTTTCTATATGTTGCCTAAAATATCATCAATTTCACTTCCCAAACACAAGCCTTGTTTTGAAACAAGATCTGCTTTGACATAGTAATAAAACAATATCAGAATAGATTGATCTGCAAAAAATGATATCAAACAAAACAATTAGAAGAACAATAGTTATATGAAATAATTCAGTTTTTGTGTTGCATGGCAATTTAAACCCGGCTCGATGGGGACCCGATCCCCTGACCCCGGTTGGAACGGTTTTTTCCCAAAAATTATCCCCATAGAGTCGGGAATGATATTGAAAATTAAATTCCTGATAATTTTCGGACCAGGGACGGGGATAGGTTCCCCAACCTCAGCCCCGCCCCGTTTGATCCCCGTATGTATGTTATTATATAATATATATATATATGCTATATGTTTAGGTAGGGTTATTATAATATATACATATATTATATTATATGTTTGGCCCTCTCACTCACATCACACAACACAGTCACACTCACTGTCTCCCATCTCCCTCTCTCAAACCTTCACCGACGCTGATCGCCCTCCTCTCCCTCCTCCGCCGATCTCCTTTCTCCGCCGATTGAGCAACCACAACTCCACCACTGTTTGCGGCAGTCCGGCAATGACACCATCACCACTGTTTGAGCACTTTTCCTCTCTCTCTCTCTCTCTCTCTCTCTCTCTCTCTCCCTCTCTCTCTCGATTTGTTATATATATGTTAGATCTGATTTTTTTTTTTTTTGAGCTCATCTGATTTGTTAATGGTGATAAACAAATCTGTTAGATCTGAAATTTTTTTTATTTACATTTGAGCATCAGATCTCTCTCTCTACGTTGTTGTTGTTGATGATGAACGAATTTGTTGTATTTATTTATTTTTTTGGCCGGGGATTAATCGGGGTCGGGGAAACCCGATCCCCGTTAGGAGGCGGGGGAGGGGCGGATATAGGTTTCTCGTCGGGATCGGGGCCGAGGACGGGGGGATTTCCACCATCGGGGATCGGGGACGGGGAGGGTGATCCCCGGCCCCGCCCCGTTGCCATTCCTACATCACAACATAACTTCCACAATACAAACCTTCAGACAACAATAGAAACTCCAGTCTTAACCTCAAACCATTCAAATATGATTATTAATTTCATTTTCATGGAGGTGCACATCAATTAATTACACAACTCAATGTTTCACTTCACTGAATAATAAAATCATACTTCTCCTATCAGTCAGTTTCAAAGATTTTCAGTGTTTAAATACACCTTCCCCCCACCCCAACCAAACCAAAAAAAAAAAAAAAAAATACTTAAAAAATTATGTCCGATCAAAATTCAATTCTTGTATAATAGCTATGAAACATAGGTGCTTCGACAAACATGCCGTAGAGCGTATAGTACTTCATATGGTATTCTTCTCCATACGTACTTGATACATGAAACACGTATTTAAATTTTTTTTTTTTAATTTTTGACATATCCAGACGTACTTAATATATACGCAAGTCGTACTATACTTCAGTTGAAACAATATCTTCTTCTACTATAAAGATACAATTTCTTTCACTAGACTTCTTTTATATTTTTAGTTTTATACTTAGTATGATTTTAAAATTAAACTATAATTTGTAAGTTATTTAATATAATGACATTTAATTCTAGTTTATACCTTTACTTTTGATATTAAATGTTAATTGTAGGTTAGATCTCAACAAATTAAACCATTTAATCAATTGTTGCATTCCTCCAAATTAAAATAAACATTGTTTTACAAATATACCAAGCCACACCTGCAACCTATTTTTTTAAAATTTTACCCGTGCTTCAAAGTATAATACATATTATATTTAAAATAAATCTAGATTACTCTTCTTTTTTGGATATATTTCAAAATCGAAATTCAGAGTTTCTAGATATATTTGAGGATTTGAGTTCTAGATACCAAATATTGTTGAAGAAAGAAAAAGAAACTCAATTACTGCAAACCTGATGGAGCAAAATGTTAGAAAAAATGGTTTTCACCATTAATTTCCGGTAAATTTGAGCTTTTATTAATGTAGGTCCCACACCTTGTTTTGGGTGGGTCCGAGTGGCAACACGTTCCTTGCCATGTGGTGAACAAAATATATAC